CCTGGCGCTGGATCAGATCCAGCGCAGGCGCACTAGATCCCATTGGTGTGAATGCACAGATGACCACGAAGAAGATCAAGCAAATAAAAATATATCCGGAATAAAACTTGGTCGGTTGGATAGCATCTGACGTTTGGAGGGATAGTGTCTGAGGACGCGTTGCCTGCAACCGAAAGCTTGTACCCTGGACCAATGTTCCCTCTAAGCTGTGGAGTCTTGTGAGCAAACATTTTACCTTGTGAGCTACAGGCATTAAAGCTGCGAGCGAGCGATTTGCCTACTGCATCAATCAGTTTGCTCTGGAGCCGTCCTTGCTGAGCTGAGACAAAAAAGGTTACCAGTAACTGGTGATCTTCTTCGTGGTCATCTGTGCATTCACACCAATGGGATCTAGTGCGCCTGCACAGATGACCACGAAGAAGATCAAGCAAATAAAAATATACCCGGAATAAAACTTGGTTGGTTGGATAGCATCTGAAGTTTGTACCCAGGACCAATGTTCCCTCTAAGATGTGGAGTCTTGTGAGCAAAAATTCTACCTTGTGAGCTACAGGCATTAAAGCTGCGAGCGAGCGATTTGCCTACTGCATCAATCAGTTTGCTCTGGAGCCGTCCTTGCTGAGCTGAGACAAAAAAGGTTACCAGTAACTGGTGATCTTCTTCGTGGTCATCTGTGCATTCACACCAATGGGATCTAGTGCGCCTGCACAGATGACCACGAAGAAGATCAAGCAAATAAAAATATACCCGGAATAAAACTTGGTTGGTTGGATAGCATCTGAAGTTTGTACCCAGGACCAATGTTCCCTCTAAGATGTGGAGTCTTGTGAGCAAAAATTCTACCTTGTGAGCTACAGGCATTAAAGCTGCGAGCGAGCGATTTGCCTACTGCATAAATCAGTTTGCTCTGGAGCTGTCCTTGCTGAGCTGAGACCAAAAAAAGTGTGAGCCAGAGGCTAAAAAACTGTGAGCTAGCTCACACCAACTCAGCTTAGAGGGAACACTGCGCCAGGAGGAAACTTTGCTGGGTCTTCAAGGCGGCCTGGGGACTCGAACTCTGGGCTTGCGCTCCTGCGTGGGATTGGGGGTGTGTGTGTGTCCAGGCGCGGCTTCCGGCTTCCGGTCCCTTTGGCAGGGGAGCACGTGGGCGCGTCGCGGCCGCGGGTGCTGCCACCACCCTGAGCAGTGGCTCAGCCCCCGCGCGCTCTCTCCTCTCTCTCCTCTTCTCTCTCCCCGGCAGGACCAAGTGGAAGCGGCAGACGGCGGTGGGCCTGGAGCTGCTGGCCGAGGCCGGGAACTACTCGGCGCTGCAGCGGATGTTCCCCTCGCCCTACTTCTACCCGCAGAGCCTGGTCTCCAACCTGGACCCCGGAGCCGCCGCCGCCCTCTATCTCTACCGCGGGCCCAGCGCCGCCCCGCCGCCCGCCCTGCAGAGGCCGCTCGTCCCCCGCATCCTCATCCACGGACTGCAGGGCGCCGGCGGAGAGCCCCCCCCGCCCCTGCCCCCCCTGGCCGGAGTCCTGCCCCGCGCCGCCCAGCCCCGGTGAGCGAGGGAGGGAGGGGAAGGGAAGAAGGGGCCCGGCGGGCGACGCCGCCCCTCCCCGCCCGCTGGAAGGCGCGGCAGGACGACCCGAGGAGCCTCCGCGTGGAACGCCCGCCTCCTGGTGGCCGCCCGCCCCCGTTGTCCGGTGCGCCTCTCTCGAACTCGCAGCCTTCTCGCAGCAGACCGCCCCGGGCGCAGCCTCTCCCGCCTCCACCCGCCGCTGGGTTGCCAATTTCTCCCCCTCCCGGGGCTCCGGCGGCTTTGTGCATCAGCAGCAAGAAATCCAGCCCCGAAGGACTACTGACAAAACTAGGGTTTCCAGCCTCCAGGTGGGGCCTGGGGATCTCCCGCTTTGACAACTGATCCCCAGCCGACAGAAGATCAGCTCCCCTGGAGAAAATGGCTGCTATGAAGGGTGGACTCTATGGCATCGTACTATGCTGAGGCCCCTCCCCTCCCCAAACCACACCCTCTCCTGGCTCCGCCCCCAAAGTCTCCAGGTATTTTCCAACCCAGACTTGGCAACCCTAGACAAAACTCGTTGCTGATCATCCATGCTACGTCGAGGGGCGTCCATCCTTCCCCGGGTAGGATCTCAATAAGGCAGGACTATAGTTATTGGGTACATTTATCCCACCCCCCTTCCCACCATACAGGGTTCCCCCCTTCTCCATTACAGCCTCACAACAACAACCCTGCGAGGCAGACAAGCCTGCGAGAGAAAGAGTGGCCCAGAGTCACCTGGTGGGGATTCGTGGCATGTGGAGATCTGAACCTGGGTCTCCCGAGTTCTGGTCTGACACTCTAACCACTGAGCCACGCGGCATCCATTTTTATTTTTTGGACCCTCCCCGTTCACAGAGACGTGAGGAATGCAGTTGATGATGACCAGCTGGAAGAGAGCCAGGAGGCGGGGCCTGTGGGGAGAGCCCCATTATTGTGGGTATCAAGGGCTGTTACGGTGGCCCAGCAGGGGGCTTCCAAGGCAAGTGAGAAGCAGAGATGGTTTGCCATTGCTTTGCTTGGCAGAGCCTTCCTTGGTGGTCTCCTGCCCTAGTGTAGACCCCGCTTAGTTTCTGAGATCTGATGAGCTCCGGCTATACCAAGCCGCCTTCCCTAAGAGCCCCATATCCCTCCCCCTAAATTAAAACACTGAAGGAAATCCACTGGTGTTGATCTGAACATGTATTTCTGATGTCTCCGGGCACTGGGACGATGAGCCAGAACTTTGTGGTCCTCACCGGCAGTGCTGGGAGACTAAAATGAGGGCTAAGGCATTTCCAAGGGAGAAAGGGCGGGATGGGCCAGGCGTCTGGTACCCTTAAAGCAATCATTCCCAACTGAGGCCACACCAGTGTGCCATGGGCGACCTGCTAGTGCGCTGTGCAAAGTAAGATTTACAAAATCATGGAAGGGCGACCTGCTCAGGGTTTGCCTCCTTCTCCCCAACCTCTGCTGGGAGGGCGGTGTCATCCTTTCATGTCTCTGCATCAACCATGGTTAGGTTAATTCAACCAGTCATGCTGCAGCAACACAGCAGAGTTATCCATCTTCAGGGGAGACTGCCCACTGCATCTCTGCATGAGTCACTGCTCTAAGCCCTACCGACTTCAAATCAGTAGTGGCTAATTTTTACTTTGTCACGTTTTAAAAGTGCAAGCAGGATGCCAGTTTGTCACCCTTTACGTTCAGATGTTTATGGCACACCCTCCCTCCCTTCAGCATTCAAAACCTCCATGAGCCTCTGTTCGCAATGGGCAGCAAGAGTTGTGGCTCACAGGCTTTGCCTCTGGAATGGGGACCTCCACCCACCAACCATGGAGGTCTGTCGGCTGTGTCCCAGCAGCACCCTGCAGCTCCCCGAAAGCTCTGAGCCTTGGGCAGAGTTCTTCATAGAGTCTTGCTAGAGTTTGCCTTGTGTGTTGTGTTGAGGTGGGCAGGAAGTCAGCAGCTGAAATGCACAACCAAGGAAGCGTCCTGCCAGAGCCAAAATTGCTCATAACAGCATAGGAAGAGGGAACTAATGAGCCCTTTACCTCTATCTCGGCTTGGGAGCCCTTTGCCCACATCTCAGCTTGGGAGCCCTTTGCCTTCACCTTCTTGGGGGGGGAAATGTTTAGATGTGTGGTAAAGGGGACTTGGCTCTTGGGATCGGGGGCCTGTGGGTGGGAGCAGAGATAATGCATTGTGAAATGTCCCGGGCAATGTTCCCTCTAAGCTGTGGAGTCCCGTGAGCAAAGATTCCACTTTGTGAGCTACTGGCATTAAAGTTCTGAGCAAGTGATTTAGCTACTGCATCAATTACTTTGCTCTGGAGCCACATCCTTCCTGAGCTAAGACAAAAATGTGTGAGCTGGAGGCTAAAAAACTGTGAGCTAGCTCACACTAACTCAGCTTAGAGGGAACACTGGTCCCGGGGCCTGCATTTGGCTTTTGTTCCACCAGATGCCACAAAGAAGGCCAGGAGCTGCCATTGTGGAAAACCAGCCCAGTCACAAGCCTTATTCCATGTATTTTCACAGCTCCTCTCTGAGGCAGGCCCTATCGAGTCCATTCTCCAGATGGAAAAACTGAGGCACAGCACGATTTCCCCCTCCCTTCCAAGCCAAGACCTTAAGCACTCTGGCTGGGGCCATAGACATGGATCTGGCGTGTCCAACTTTAGCGTCTTCTGGCCACACCAAATAGGGAAACTGAGGATGAGGCAAAATCCCGGCCATCTCTTTCTGCTCATAAGATGGTTTTGCTGTTTTCTCCTCTGGATTTTGCAAAAAAAAAAGCAAAAGTACCGTGGATATGACCCACGCCCCGGTTCTGGACGGCCACATGGATGGACAGAAGGTGGCCCTTCCTGCCCACGTAGACAAGCTATGACACCCTCCCCCCAGTCTCACCCCTGTTCTAGTGCGAGAGGACTCCTTTTATGCTAAACCAAGAATTTTGAAAAGTATGTAACTTAAACAAAAAAGAGATCTTTTTTTGTTGTTGTAAATACCGTGTGCAGAAATGTATATGAATTATTTATTTGTGAACCCTGAGGGCGTATTTGTGTAAGTGAGTGTTGTAAGTCGGTATATCTGTGGAATTCTCTTTTCCAGACTTTGTAATGAAAAAAGAAGAAAAGGAGAATTCTGCCTTAGAAGAGATCAGAAAAGCTGTCTCTCTCTCTCTCTCTCTCTTTTTTTAAATGTGAAAATAAACTTCTTTACAAACAGATCCAGTCATTTCCAGGCCTGCTTTTTCCCTGCTAACTCAAAGATCAAAACACTCTAGAAAGGAATGAGAACGAGGCGGGCGGAGGGGGGGGGGGTGTTCCTATAATTCTAACTTGAAGAAGAAGGAAATGTTGGGGCTGTTTCAGCAAGGGGTTTATTTAAATTTCTACTCTGCTTTCCTGATCTGCAAGGATCCCAAAGGGGCTTCGGGAGAAGTAAAACGAACAAGCAATTAAGAAGTCCCATCCATCACAAAACAATTTCATTCACATGTGTGGCCAAAACCATTCATACCCTCTCCTTCTTTGGGAGCCCTTTCAGCAGCCACGGTTAGGACTCGGACCGTCTTCTGCAACCGGAGGAGGAGGAAGAGGATCTGCTACGAGGGTTGCCAGCCCCCAGGTGGGGCCTGGAGATCTCCTGGAATGACAACTGGTCTCCAGAGGAGAGAGAGAGCACTTCCCCTGGAGACAAGGGCTGCTTTGGAGGTTGGACTCTGTTACATTACCTCCCCTCCCCAAACCCCACCATCCCTAGGCCTCCCCCCCCCAATCTCCAGGAATGTCTCCAGCCCAGAGCTGGCAACCCTGTGTCACACTGCACACGGTGGTCTCTCTTGACGTGGTAGTGGGCGCATTGTCTAAAACTCTGCTCTCCATGTTCTCCTCCCGCTCTGTTTTCCAGGGCCACCCGTCTGTTTCAAATAGCTTGGGGGAGGGGCTCTGGCAACGCTCCCTCTACGCTGTGGAGTCTTGTGAGCAAAAATCCTACCTGGTGACCCGCGGGCATTAAAGCTGTGAGCGAGCAATTTGGCTACTGTGTAAAGTAGTTTGCTCTGGAGCCCTCCTTCCTGAGCTGAGACAGAAATGTGTGCGCTGGAGGCTAAAAAAAACTGAGCTAGCTCACACTAACTCGGCTTAGAGGGAACACAGTGCTCTGGTGCAGATTTTTATTTTATTTTTCGAAAGGAAAGGGCTCCGATTCAGCTTCTCCATCCCCTGGCAAAGCTTGATTTGCACCCGGCATCCTGGAGTCCACAAGTCTGCGATACCCCCGAGTCTCCATTTCCAGAAAACGATTTAGTGCAGATTTTGGGCTCTGCCCACATGCCCCCCCCATCATCTTTCCCTCTCCTCTCCTCTTCTCTTACTCTTCGCCACTCCCCAATTTACACTTAGCATCCAACCAGAGGGAAAGTTCTGTGGAACTTAAAAACTGGCTCCATTTTTTTAAAAAAAGCCCAACAGGAACTCATTAGCATAATAGGCCACACCCAACCACAGGAACTCAGCATATTAGGCCACACCCCTGACAGCACAGCTCATTGGCACATTAGGCCACACCCCCATGTTACCAAAAGTGTGGTCATCCAGCCACACCCACCTTTTGCTTCTTATTCTGTTTACCTTGTTTGTTGTCAAAACCCAGGGCTTTTTTTTGTAGCAGGAACTCCTTTGCATGTTAGGCCACACACCCCTAATGTAGCCAATCCTAATGAGTTTCTGCTGTTGGGTGTGGCCTATTATGCTAATGAGTTCCTGCTGGGTGTGGCCAACTTGGGAGCCAGCCGGAATTCCGTTCCTGTGCGTTCCTGCCCCAAAATAGCCCTGAATGTATCATGCTATTGACCTGACCTGGGTAGCCCAGGCTAGCTAAGTCTTGTCAGATCTTGGAAGCTCAGCAGGGTCAGCCCTGGCAAATATTTGGATAGGGGACCTCCAAGGAATACCAGGGCTGTGACACAGAGGCAGGCAATGGCAAAGCACCTCAAAATGTCTTGTCTTGAAAA